TATAGTTTACTTTTGTTTAATAAAGCGCACATAACTAGCCTGACAGCGGGTTAAAAAAAAAAAAAAAAAAAAAAAAAGAGATATAAATAAAAGTCTAGATAATTATCTAAATATCAATTAACAAATAATTTGAAAAATATTAGTTAAAAAAATAGTAAATATAATGCTATAATTAAGTATTTAATTGTTATAAATAAATAATAAATAAAAAATAACTTAAAATACCTAGAATATTTATTAAATAATAATAAAAGAATATATACTGTATAATATCAAAATAAATTTCAATAGAATATATATTATATTGTTTTTTAATAATAGAAATAATATTAGAAAAATATAAAAAATTTATAGTATAAACTTTTTTCACTGATTTTTTGATCAAATGTAAAAAAGCAAAACTTTATACTTTAATACTAAATAAAAACTTATCATTTTCAATAATTAAAAAAAATCAAAAAATATTTTTTTTTATTTATAGTAAAAAGTTTTTTAAAAAAAGAAAAACCAATAGTAAAGTATTAATGATCTATTTTTTAAAGTAAAAAATACACATAAAAGACTTTTATGGTAGATAAAAAATCAACAACAAGTTTAAATCTTAAAATCTTTTTTACTTATGGTTACTTTTTTAATAATTTTTTACATATTTTAGTTTAATTTTAAATTTTAATATAATACAAATTTTATTAAAGATAATTGATTAATATAAAACATATCTATAATGTAATATAAACAAACTTTTATTGATTATATTATATATTTAATAATATTATTTATGAGAAAAGAAAAATTACTGATATAAATTTTTTTCTTCTTTAAATAATATATTATTGAAGCAAAAAAATTATGAGTTAATTAGGATAAGAACTAAATTTTTAAGATAATAAAAAGATTGTATTTTTTTCAAGTTAAGATTTTTAACTTTTTATTATTTTGATTAAATAAAGTATATTTAGAAGATTATTTCTTTATTCTAATTAGACAATAAGTTAAAAATAAAATATTGCAGGTCACTTCTTTTCTAAATAGAAAAAAGATATTAATCAGAATATTAGATTTTAGTAAATAATAAATATTTTAAATAGTTATAAGAAAATAATTAAGATCTCAAATAAATAAGCTTCTTAGATTGTTAAAAGAAAAATATTTCAAAAAAGTTGTTTTTAATAAGAAAATGTTTTTTAGTCAAGATTCATTACAGAATGTAAAGCTTTTATATCTTTTTTTTTTATATTTTTTTATAAATATATATGTGTATTTTTAGAAATTCTTTCTTCTTTTATTTATTTTATTATTTTTTTAATAAGTTCTCAAAATCAGTTTTTTGAAAAATAATTAATAATAACAACTTGTTAACAATAATATCTAAATTAAAAAAATATTTAGTCAAAATTTATTACAAAATAAAATGTAATCATCAAGATTATATTTAGAAACTAAAGCTTTTTTGAAAATTGATTGCTATTGATGAATAAATTAGCATAAAATTTAATTTAGCTGTAATATAATTGCTTAATATATTTCTATTGATTTTTGCAATTATTAATAAATATATTATATTAATTTAATTATGAATATTACAAAAAAAAAAAAAAAAATTAAAAGAATATAAATATCAAAGATCTTATTTTTAAAGTTAATATTTAATAAAAAAATTGAAAATAATTTAATAATTAAATCCTAAAACCTAAAATAGAATAGGATAGGATAATAAAATAAATATTAATAAAATTGAGAGTAAGAAATAATTAAAAACAAAATTATAGAAGAGATATTTTAAAATTATTTAATAAAAATATTTTAATACAATCAAAAATTATAAAAAAAGTTAATCTTCTATTTTAATAAATTTCTAATAAATCATAAAAATTAAAATATAAAAATAAAAGTAAAATAAATATAAATAGAGAGTAAAAAAGAAATATGTTTCAAGTAAAAATTAAGAATTGTTTTTTGTTCAAGAATAATATTGGTAATAATATTTATAATACTATTGATAATTTTATTAAATAATATAATAGAAATATTTATTGATATTTAAATTAATATTTTTAAATAAAAAACTTTAAGAAAAAAGATTTTAAAATATATACAAAGGATGGGAAAAAAAGCTTATTTATATAAGAAAAATATTAAATCTTATAAATATATATACAGTATATACAGTATATACAGTATAACTAAAATTTATAAAAATTAAATTGTATTTGAGTAATTAAATGAAGAAGTAAATAACTTAACCAAGTAAGTTTTAAAATTACTTGAAATAGAATAAAAAAGTCATAAATTAAACAAAATATTTATAAAGATAATATAGTAAATAAAAATTTTAGATAATTTCATCTGATAATTAATTAAATAAGTACAATAATATTGAACAAAAAAAAAAAAAAAAAGGGATAGTATATTTATGGGATTTATTATGGAAAGGGATGAAAAAGAAGTATATCTGAGATATTTTCTTCAAAAGAAGTTTACATAAGAAAGGTTTTTTAATAAAGTTAATTAATAGCGAATTATTTTATTAAAGAAAATAGCAATAAAAAGACCGGATTTATATAAGTAAACAAAATATATAGTATATCCTTATAATTAATTCAATAAAAATTTTTTAACAAATTAACTTAATTAATAACAAATTTTTATACAAAAATTATTTATTTATTTATTGTAAAAATTATAATAGTTTTGTATTTTTTATTAATGCATGTAATATATTATTTTTTATTGGTTTATTTAATATGATAATATTTTTTCTTATACAATTCTATGTTAAAATATTGATTAAAAAACTTTTTTTTTTAGATTATATTATTTAAAATTTCGATTAAACAAATATTTATGATTTATTAATTTATACAAAAGTTTTTATTATGTTTCCATATTTTTGTTTTTTATTATATTTGTCATCGACTTTTAAATAAATATTATTTAACTAACAACAATAAATTAAAATAGCAATAATAATATACAATGATAATAGTTATTTTTTAATTTCATGATTTTAATTATCAAATGATATTAATTTAATATGATTAAGTAAACAAATAAGAGAGAGTTTTTAGAAAAATAGTAAACTTCAGTTATAACAAAAATCCATATACAAAATTGAGAACTTACTGTAAAAACACGTGGCAAAGAATGCTCGAAGATAAACTGCACATTATCTGTACATTATCAGACGATCGATGATGGCGGTAAAAAACTTTATCGTTACGTAGTTACTGTACACATTACAGTATATCAATCGACCATTACGTATTACTTTAAAAGGAAGAATTGGTTGAATAAGTGGAGTTTTGCGAGAAATTAAGGTTAATTCATCAATGAGAAAGGTGGAAAAACATTTCCTTACTAGTGAAAGTTGCACAAAACTTTGATGAGATAATCTCATCGTCACATTATAAAACAGTAGAAATGGCTAGAGCACGTAAGAATCGGAGACCGATTCAATGAACAGGTGAATCTTCTGTAAGGATCGAATTAAACGGAAAGAGCCGGGTTTGGTGCGGGTAATTCAAGTTTCATGCAAGCAACGATCAAAAGGCGAATGCAAATCAATTATACGTAAACCGACACGACTTGCATCATTTGGTTTGTACTTTATATAGTATAAAGTGGTTAGAAAAGGGATCTAAGATCTTATTTGAACGTCATCTAACCTATAATATTGGCAGCTAAGCGAGGTGGATAAAATGCCAATTTAAAAGCGTAAACCTGTGTGAGAGGACCTACGTATATTTGAACATTACCGTAAGGGAGTTCAAACGGCTCGGAACTGTATGAGTATTAGAGAAAGCTGCTACGTTATCGTGGCATGGAATGTGCCGCATTTGACAGGATTCTATGCTACGTCAATCGTGAAACTGATCGAGATAATGCTGAGCGCCATAAAAAAATCATCCTAATTTTGTGTCACCGTCAGTTTTGTACATACCGAAGATACGAGAAACCGGAAAATAAAGTGCACATCTTCCGTTAAGGCATACCATACATACGGGCTTATCGCGTGTACGTGCCAGAACTATAAAATGAACCACAGTATGGCTGTATCGCGTTATTCCGAACCCTTATATAAGAGAGATAGGTGCGGGATGCGGTGTGACATTGAAAAGTTTTTTTTCGGTGACACTAATACTGTACGTATTGTGAAAATCATAACACACATTACGTACATACATTTCGGCTCGTGGTTTTCGTGCATGAAGCTGTTACCATGTATGCATGTACGTAATACTCGAATTCAAGATGAATTTGAAATTGACAATTTTCATCTATAATTTTTTGATATCTTTGGGAAAAATGAAGTGTATCATCATACTCGTCAAATTTGGTGGTCTACGTTGTATTAGAGGGAATGTCGTGTGATTTTGTGCACAGTTTATATTCCACGTGCGAAATCACCGAAAAAAAAAACGGAACATTGATTGACCATAAAACGAGATGGTATATTTGTAATTTCGACTGCAGTTGGAAAAACACATTATGTAATGATCAATCTAACCTGTGCCCCGTGGGGTTTTGTCGGTTGTGTATAGCACGGTGTATAAAGCGTGAGTGTAACGTATTGCGACGTATAATAAACAAATGTATCGGTTTCTCTTAATCAGCCGTCGTCCGAAATCGTTTGATTTCAAAATAATTTCATACATCAAATGATGGTATAAGAGAAATTCCAAAATTTGATAACTCCAACCATCACTTTTTTCGTAGTCATTGCCAATGCTTAATTGAAAATTGAATTATACTCATTAAACAGCGTCAAAAGCATGTCTATAAAACCTACAAATCTTACAAATTTCGTGCCAAGTGGCAAACTTGAGATACGTGTGAGCAGTTCGTTGATTATCTTGTCGTATTGTATATCGGTGTTGGGTGCGATCACAACGTTGGAATTGTTGGGAAGACGCACTTCAAAGCCTAACAGGGTGGATCGCTTTAAATTAATGGGAGCAGCCTTTGGTTTTGCGTTCGTGGAAATGTGGTCTACACATTTTATAGGTGGGTAGTTGATTAAAAGGTTTAGCCCTATCCATGTTCGTCATGATTTACAGTTTTCAATACAGTTTCGCACCCGTTTACTGACAGGCACGAGAGCATTAAGTCTCGAAGATCATCTCAGCGAACTGCACCCGATAACGTATAATCCATGGTAAAAACCTTCTTTCTCTCTCTCTTTTTTTTTGTGGAGAGGTTGACATGTTCGGCAAATTAAACCGTATAGAAAATTTTTAAATAGGTTCACATTATCCTCTCTGATATTCGCGATAGTAATTGGCAACCTCACATTTTTCTTTGTCGAGAGGCAACCCCATTACAAAAGGATTTTCTTCGGAGGCACCTTATCCGGCACGGGTTTCGGTAAGGTTTTTTTTTTTTTTTTTTTTACAGATGATGGCCAAAGTCCGTGAACACTTTATTTTTAAATTAATCAATAAATCGTTCGTGGACTTTAGTATTTATTTCATTTCATTTTTTTATTTTTTTATTTTTTTTTGAATTTATGTGTTAATCTACCATCTCCCGCATTCTTTTCAAACGTTAGTTTTTATGCATTACTTCAGCCAATTCGCGGTATCCACTTGCGCCATTCACTATGACCCCTCCTACGTCGTACTCAGTTTTTTCATCTCCATAGCAGCCAACATCATCTCTCTATTTATCTTTTTTAAACTACATGCAATATGGGAAGATTTTTGGCATAAGAAACTGGCGTGTTCCATTTTTTTGGGAATAGACCTGTGTGCTGCATATTTTACCGCATACCAAGGAACCACCTATTCGGCCCTCTCAAATATGAAGTCGGGTGAAGTTTCAGAGGAGTTTCTTGTTGGCGGTGAGTTGAGTTATTAATGTGGTGCGACAGTGGCGTTTGGGATAGTGTTGTTAGGAATGTAACGTACAGACAGAACTCTTCCAGCAAAACTTAAACTCGATCAAACTTTCATTATTAGTGGTCAGCATTGGAGCTTTTATCACGTGCATTTCCCTGGTGATGGCGGCAGTGATGATCAGAAACAAGGAGATGAGTCGTAAAAGACACGCACAAAAGGTTGTATTGAGTGCGGCCATCTATGATGAGAACGGAATGATCCTGGTTACAAAGAACGGTCATTTACCATACAAGAGGATTACCGATGATCATTTTCAAAAGGTAATTTTTTTTAAGCAATCGATGATTCGAATTTCTTCCCCTATTCACATAATTGGTCTTGATAGAGCCTGAAAATTGAGTTCACGCCGCACCATCCGGTATTCCAATGGATCTATCGACTGTCGCACGATTGGATTAGCATCAAAAAATGGTGCGTGGTCGTAATCTCTTAGAATTCACAGTTTATGGAACGCATTATTTTATCGTTACATTCATCCCTTACGTTTCAAAAAAAGGCTCCCGCACATTGAAGCAAATATGAAAAAAAGACCGACCAACTCATACAAAATCACGTCGAAATTACGTACAGGCGCCGATGATCGTCCTGCGGACACATATTCCACGCAATTCATGGAAATGCTAATCTACGGTGCCAAGACATTGGCAGATTCGCTGAGCATTCCGCTCGAAGAAGCCGGAGTTTTATTTGATCAAATTTTAATTACAGGCAGTTGTTCTGAACCATCATCATCCGGGTGCTCGAGTAAGATGAAATTTGAGTGTGGATTGAAACAAAAGATAAACAGAAATACCAAGATCAACGGTGACGGAAATAAATCTAACGGTGGCACCGATATCAGATTCGGGAAAGGGCAGATGTTATTTCTCGTGAAGCAAATAAATTCCGCAACAAATAATCATGTTTCAACGTTTGATCACGTATCAATCTCGAATCGAGTGGAATCCGCATTCAGTTCGAGCTCTTACTATTTTGATCCTCGGTGCGCAGAAAAATTTCAAGGATTAGGATACAGGTTTGCCTCTCCGCGATCAGTTGCTCCAATAATGGCCGAACGAATTGGCATTACTTCAATGCAAATGCAAATTTATTTGGAAAAAATGTTTCATTATTCTACGATCGGGCTATCACGAATGATGGAGGAAAACTGTGTGTACACCGGACTATTCGTCACCAGAAATGGAGAATGTGATAGTCGCGGTTGTGATGACGATAGTCATGAGGACATATGTGGGAGTAACAGTTCCAACAGTTTTAGCTGTGTAAATGGCGCTAGGAAAAGCACAGGTTTGTTCCAAGAGAGTATTGACACCCTGACAAACGAAGAGCAAATATTAGTCATGGATCACTTTCGACACCAAATACCGATCTCGAAATTACCCTCAATAAAGGACATCGGCCATGTCGAGATGGAATACATCAAGCGTAAATCCGGGATCACAATTACCGAACTTATGCAGCAGCTTGGGCAAGCATTCTTTTATCCCACCGCAAACCTTGGTGATGGTGGCAACCAAAGAAATGCAAATTCTGGCAAAGAAGTTAATACCGATAGTGCAAGAAAGAGAATCTTTTCAAAAACCTACTTCAATAGCCTAGTGAGAAGCGCATCACGAAAACGTTTCTCCGTTAACAAATCACAAAAGGACGAATCAAGTTTTTTTGAAACCGATTCGCATAATTCCTATGATAGCACACGTGACACCGACGGCCAAGAATCATCGAACGATGATTCACCTCCAGCCGACGATTTCATGAATGATAGTTTATACGAATTCCGGTATGGCCTAACTCAATCTTTACACCGCCTGATTAACATCATCAATGACGATCAATTATACTCGAATGCCAAGTTGGTTCCACTTGTCTTTGACATTTCCGTTAATGATGGTAATTCCAACTTGATCCCTAACGGCTGCCCTCAGGATGATTCTGATCATTCGTCCAACATAATATCATCTTCTCCCCTAGATATCAATGTCTCTTCGGTTACACTTTCACCGCTGGCCCCAAGATTGCCGGTTCTAGGTCAAGTTTCAAAATCCGCGAAACTGATCGTGTTTCATCTCAAGCTCACCCAGGATATCAAGCCAAGACTGTCAAGAGGCGAGGTGTGTTTCATTCCTTTTGGTATGTTTGAAATTTATCAGGATATTTTGTATTACAACAACAAGCAAGAGGTGAGTAATTGGAGAAGAACGGTAGACAATGAAATCGGTCAAATAATGAAGAAGAAGGTGAAACAAGATAAAGTCCTTGTGCGCAAGGGTCAGATGACTGGAGATGAGGATGAGATTGAGATGGTGGTCATAGATGGAGGTCATCTCCTGACAAATGATAACAAGGGGGGCTTGAGTACAAGGATTCATGAGAAAAAGCGTTGGTATCATGTTGTCATTGAGGGATCATATAACAATATGAGCGATGAAAATTGGAATATTGGTGAACATGAAAATGGTTGAATAGGCATACTTGATGTACGTGTATACTGCATCTTTGTGAGTTTCACAAATGCTCCAACTAAATAATGAATAAAAGATAATAATAATAAAAAAAAAAATCAAAACAGTAGAATATAAATTTATTAAATAATATTGATTAAATTGAGTAATTTTATCTTTTTAAGTTTTAACAAGAAAAACCCAGCCATTTTGAACCCATTCTATCAAAGTTTTCAAAAAAACTTTTACTTCTTGTATAAGTTCAATATTTATGGAAACATTGCAGTAAGTAGTTTTAATTTCTTAATTATTTTTATTAAATTTTTAAATATTTTTTTATTAAATAACCTTTTTTTACCTATAGTTTTATATCCGGAGAATCTATTTTTTGCTTTACTTTACTCTTTTCGCGCAATACAAAATTTTTATATTCTTTCTAATTATATTATTTTGTATTATGCATATACAAAAGTTTGGAATGTTTTATTTATTTATAAAAATTTAATTTATTAATTTGATTTTTATTTTATTATCTATATTTATTTCAAGTTTTTTTTTTTTTTTAATAATTTTTTTTATTTCTAAATATTTTCAAAAATATCAATACACTATATATTCTTATTAGTGATTATTTTGATTATAAAGTTTTTTTTAATAAAAACTTCTAATTAATATATTTTTTATATATTGATTAATAAATTGTTTTTATATTAAATTTCATAAATAAAATTTGATAAATATACAGTATGTAATAAAACTTTTTGGAATTTTTTAAAATGCATATTTTTGTTTATAAATTAATAAAAAATTATTCAAATTATTTAAAACTT